TTCTCTAGAATTGCACTATTTAAAAAAAAAATTCATAGAATTTGCATTTAATACTGCTACATATGCTAAGTAAATTTTAAGATTTAGCTATTTTTACAAATTTTTTAAATGTGTAGCAACAATGGGTGCATCTAGATTGAAAATAGCTAAATAGGCAAACCAATGACTTAGCCTATTTCATATGAAACATGTCATTGGTTTGCTTAATTAGCTGCTTGTCACCTATCTAACCCAGTCAGTCTTTCATTCTGACTTTGTTCTGGGATTGAAGCAGTGATAAAACATTTAATTTAAGTTTGATTTGTTTGTATAATTGCAGTTCTTCTAATTTCTTTTAATACAGAATATAAGTGTGTATCTTGAAAATCTGCACAAATTTCAGTAAGGTTTTCCAATAATTTTGAATAATTGTATGTGCACATGAGACATCATATGTTCTCTCTGGAATGTCCTTGAATCCATTTATTGAAAAAGTTTGCATAAATAATGTTCCATTTTGAAAATTTGAAGGATTAAATGAATTTGATCAAAGAAATGTAATTGGCAGATTTTACACTGAAAATTACAAAATGAGAAATCTTGGACAGGTAAACACTTCTCTGCAATGGAAGTTCTACAGCATATATAAGTATGACATCAGGGGTAGAGCAAGGAGAACCTGCAGAAAGAAGAGCTGGAAGTGGTCAAAAGTGGAGGAAAATGACTGAAAGGAAGATGAACTAATTGGAGGAAAAGACTTGAGAAAAGTTGGACTTAAAAAATTGTGAAGAAACTTCAAAATTTCTTTGACTTGTTCATTAGATTCTAAAGGAACATCAAATGATTCTCAAGAAGTGAAAATCTGCTCCAAAATACACAATGAAGCAACTTGCAAATGAAAAATAAACTTTTTGCAGAAGCTGCATGGAATCTCAAAGGTTGAGGCCATGGACAATGAGTCCCACTTCACCACATTCACTTCACTTTTTACAGAAGTGAATGTGCTGGTAACAATCACAACTAAAATTAGAATGAAGTAACGTTAATAGATGGATAGGCTCTTACAAGTTAGTCGTATTTGAATTTAACTTGTTTTTCTTGATGTGTAAAAAATTATCTAGCCATTGTTGTTATAATGAAAACTAACCAAATATTTCACCAAAGAAAAGCTAGATGTGGATTTTAAAGTCAATTTCAAATGGCATTCTCTTTGCCTCAACTTCTGATTTGGCTAGCAATTGTCCAGAGGGACATTCATGGGTCTTGCCTGTCATGGCTCTCCATCATGAAATTATTCAAAATACATTCAGAAGCTAGTACCCTTTCTAAAGAAATACTACCCTGATCAAGTATATATCTTCTGGCCAGACATGGCCATTGCCCATTATGCTGATATATTATGGAATTTGATACATCTCCTGCAGATCCATTGAGAGATTTTGGTACCAACTGAAGTAAAAATTTTATGAAAATGGTTGGGAAGCTGATGTTGGAAGACAGATCAAGACTGAACTTTGCTACTTCAAAGCTGATCACTTCTGGAGATTAATGGAACAGATTGACTAAAATTTGAATTTCAACTAGTTGTGATCCTGATCATGTCATTGAAATGTTAAACAACCTTTCTGTACTTAAAAGACATTGTTTAAAATGTATTTAATTTTAAAATAAGTTTGATATTTGTGCACATTTTTAGGATACATGTCTTTAGTTTTATTGTGCTACTAGCATACCCCGCCATGCATTGTTGTGGCTCAAAATGTATCTAAGTTATTATAAATGTATAACACTTTCCCTGTGGGGAGGATTTTTCGAAAAATCCCTTTTTAGTATATATTCTGTTGACGTACCCTATTAAAACACAATCAAAAATGCAAAAAACTGCATCTAAAATAGTATAAATAGAAGCAGAGTTCTTAACGGTAAGCTCTCCCCCCAGTGGGGAAATTTCAACATGTATATTATATAAAAACGTGCGTATTCGAATGCAATGTTGTGTCAAAATTTCAAAGGAATTGGTAGGAACAAGCAAACATTACATTTTTATTTATATAGATAGATAGGAGATGATCTGCTTTAGTTCATCCTCACAGAAAAGCAAACTTAGGTCATAGTACTCGCGGAGTTAGCGCTATCTGTTGGACATAAAAGCCTTAATCCTAGATTATATCTTTTAATTTATATGAATATTTAACGGAATAATATACATCCTATGTCCACCCTGAAGTTCCATTCTAAATATTGGTGAAAGAATTTTTGAAATCAGATGAGTAGTTTCAGAGATTACCTTCTACATCCAAACTTACAAATTTTACGTCTTTATAATATTAGTATAGATTTGGTGTTAAAAGATAGAGGTATTTTGGCATTTAATTGAAAAAGTCAAATAAAAATAAAATTAAATTTTGTTAATAAGTAAGTTGAAATATTTTGTTTACACACTTTCTATATTAATTGGTTTATCATGATTTTTAACATCTGGAGCCAATCTTCCATTTTTCCATACAGTATTTTTTTTATATGGATTTTTCATAAATGTATCTACTATGTAAAAACAGAATTAGTGTATATGTTACCGCTAAAGCTCGAAAGTCGTTAATCTGCAGATTAACTAGGGTGATCCGTTAAAGTTGTGAAAATTGTTCTATTTCTCAAATTACCTAGGTAATGTGCAGAGTATCTAGGTAATCCGCACATTACCTACTAGGCACTTGGTAAAGTGAAAATAAGATCTTTGCTACAAATAAATGTACCACAAATAGGTGTGCTTGTCGCAAAAACCAATTGCTATGAAATTCAAAGTGTCACCAATCTTTAGACTGCACTAATAAGTAAACACAATTGGATAATGTTACCTATGGTGAGTAAAATGGCGGCTCGTCTCTGATTCCAGCGAAGAGAAGAAAGAAAACAGTGGGGACGCACGTTCAAACCTAATCTAACCTATTCTAGTAATTTGGTCGGTAATAATTATAGTAATTTATTAGAATAAGTTAGGTTAGGTTAGAACATGCGTCCCCACTGTTTCCTTTCTTCTGTTTGCTGGAATCATAGATGAGCTGCTATTTTTCTCACCATAGGTAACATTAACTGCACAATTATATCACGCAATCACCAGAAAAAGTATGATAACTTTATTTTTCGTCTCTGGTCCAAAAGTTGGATATCATTGAAGTTGTCTCGGTCCCCTCAGTTCAGATAGATACTCAAAGTCCCGAAATTCCCGAAATCTATATAATAATTTCCCTAATTGTATAAATATTTTAAACCATTTGATTTTCTGTATGTTTTTTAACTGGTTGATGATTGATTCTATCAACTAATTTGTCGATTGTTTGATTGCATTAACTTGATTCTTTAGATATCGAAATAAAGAACATTATGTTAATTTAAGCGTACAGAAACGTTGCTGTTGTTCCAGCAAAGTTCTTATTTTCACTTTACCAAGTGCCTAGTAGGTAATTTGAGAAATAGAACAATTTTAGCAACTTTAACAGATCACCCTTGTTAATCTGCAGATTAGCTAGGTAATGTACACATTAACGACTTTTGAGCTTTAGCGGTAACATATACATATAATTCAAATTTCATGCATTTAATATCATGCAGAGATTTTAACAAAATTATAATTGAACATTTGTAATGTCATATGAAATGAAAAAACAAAACTTTTTAAAAATGTAAAGTGTATTTAAAGCAAATTGTTTTAAACATCTTTAGTCAAAATAATTTATTTTTGGAAAAGCTGTTCTCAGTATAATACACTTTTTATGACATAATATGCAATATATATAATGTTTATACAATACAAAAAAAAATTAAGAAAGGAGCAAGTACTTATTGCAATATTGCCAACATGCCAATCTGAAATTTTTAATCATATTGTAATTTAAAAGTAAGCTTTCCATATCTGATCTCAATTTTTATCTAGCCAACTCTTTTCTCGAGATTAACGAAGGACAGATAGATGAAGTGGAAATGAATAGGTTTGCAATTTGAAAATTGTAGCCTAATAAAATACTATATATATATAGTATTTTATTAGGCTACAATTTTCAAATTGCAAACCTATTCATTGAGTTCAATATATATTTTATATATATATATTTGAGTTCAATATATTGAACTCAAATAAATAACTGAATTTAGACTCAAAATTAAGATTTAAATTTTCTTTATAAATTTCAGTTACAAAATATTTACTGATCTTATTTTTGTTGTAAATTAGACTATAAACTACAGGAAAACCTATTTCACAAAGGAAATGGGAGGAATTTTTAATTACATTCTTAGTATAAAGCAAGAATCTTTGTATAATCAAAATTCTTATCAATTTAATAAAATATTTATATAAAGTAATGTAATATATAATAGAAATAATAATAATTTTTATTTTGGTTAATTGTAGTATTAGATACCAGTATCAACTAAACTGGATGAATCTATATTCATCCAGTTTAGTTGATACTGGTATCTAATATTATGACTAATCAAAGTCAAGGCTTAGCTACAGAAAATTGTTTGTGTTATTGATGTACAATAGGTATCATGTTTAACAATTTCCTAACTATATGGCATATGTTTTGTATGGCTGCTTTCTGTAATGTGATGTACAGTACTGTATATGCTGTTGTTAAGGCGTAATATTTCTAGGTTTCTTTCTAGTATAAAAGAGAGAACTACAGGCATTACAATAAGTATACTATTCATTCTCCACAGATGCTTTATTTTGTGAGTTCTGAATTTTTACTAATTGTTTTGGAATGTGTATTTTTTTATGTTCACTGTTTGGATTGGATTTATCTATTGTTAAATATTTTTTAAAAAATAAACATAATATTTATAAGAATATTTTTAATAAATATACAGTATGTAAATGAGAATAAATAAGTATATGTTTCTAAAAGAAACATAATATGATGATTGGATTTAAATTTTCATAAATAATAATGAATTGAATTAAAAATTTTAAACAAATGTAACCTTGTCAATCAAGCATGTTAATTACTTTTGTTTCTTAGATACAATGGATGTTTACCTCAAGGTGAAAAGGGTAGAAGAAGAAGCAAGTTTGTTCTGTATAGAAGACCTGTTCCAAATGGAGTTAAAAAATCCAGACACTATGTTGTCAAAACTCCTCAATCATCAAAAGTAAATAATTACATTGTATTAATAAATATTTGTAATGTATATTTGTTAAAATAATTAATAATTTTTATAATTATAGTATTAATATAAAAAAAGATAATATTTAAAAAAATTATTAAATGTTGATTTAAAACATGTTTGATTTTGAAAAATTCAACAAATCAACTTCTGATTTCACTAATAACTAAATAAATACAGGTATACCTCGACTTACGTCGTTCCCGATTATACGTCGTTTGTCAAAAAAGTATACGAAAAAATAAAAATCAAGTTTAAGTCATTTTATTCGACTTTACATCTGTCCGCCACAAATATTGGAGTCGTAATATCACTAGAAAAGCGTTTAAAGCACATAAAATCATATTAAGATATACACGTTTACAAGTATGTACTGTATTTACAGTACAGTACATGCATTCGTAAATTTATTTGTGTGTAAGCTTAAAATAGATTCTTATTAACCATACATTATTAAAAATGCATTAATAAATAAAATACAGAACTGGGAATAGTAAATTATAGTTTAGCCTAGTGACAAGTAGATTCGGAGACAAGTAAATTCGACTTGCGTCGTTTTTCGACTTAAGTCATTTTCCTGGAACCAATTACCGACGTAAGGCGAGGTATACCTGTATA